CAGCAAGTATGAAGTTTGTTTAATAAGGTATTTGGAATCAAAATCAAGTTAGTAGCTTTAAAAGAAACTAGCAACATTCATTTAGGCAGTGGAATGGAAACATCCATCCACAATAACAGCAGGTCTACCAAGAAATGAACAGGAACTCTCTGAAGTATCTTTAAAGCATTGCTGAATCATACAAAAGTTGTGGAGTAATATATGAGACCACCTATCTTTGTTATCTATTTCTTTAAATATAACTGCAATACAAATGCAGTTTCAATTAAATTCCCTATAGAAGTTTATTACAAAATTGAAAAGATGATTCCAGATTTCACTGAGAAATACACAAATAAAGAAAATTTAGCAACAAAACTATAAATAAAAATGATAGTGGGAAATCTAGGAAATAACAAAATGTAGCACACAGATTTAATAATTAAACCATGAAATGGTGTTGCAACAAATTCATCAATACGTCAGAATAGATCATAATCACTTTTAAAGAACAGTATTGGAGTGGAGAAGATCTATTTCTCCAAGAGCAATATGGATGCCATAAATTTAGGAAAAGATTAATTTCCATGTATATTTAAAGAAATTGGGGAGTTAGTAAACTTAAAAATCAATAACAGATTTAGAAAATATTTTTCCCCATAATAAACAGTTAAAAACCATCCTGGATGGAAATTTCTATAAAGCAATAGATTAAATAACTCTTAGGGGTTGAGTCATATTACCCAAAATTCATACTTTGGAGTTCTAACCTCCAGTACCTTAGATAGATGTAACATCACTGGGAGATGGGTGTTTATAGAAGCTGTCAAGTTAAAATAAGGCACTAGAGTGGGCTCTAAATTAGTCTTAGTGGTGTCCTTATAAAAATGGAAAATTAGTCACAGAGTCACACATGGAAGACAATGTGAAGACACATAGGAAGAAGATGGCCATCTGTAAGCCAGAGAGTGAGTCTGGGATGGATCTTTCCCTCACAGTCCTCATAAGGAATCAACTCTACCAACAACTTCTGTGGTGCTTTGTGACAGCAGCCCCAGCAAGCTAATACAATAACTAGCCCAAAATACGAGTGGGTAAAAGGCATACACAGGTAATTCAAAAGGGAAGAAATTCAAGTACTAATGAAAGTTCTGAAAATATAATTAATCTTTCCAATGAAGTGATTGAAAATTTTGTTCTAGAGAAGCTACCATTTTTCACTCATGCCACTAACAAATTTTAAGTAAAGGAGGAAAACAGTTTCCAGTTCAGGAGAATGTGTTGGGAGAATACCAGAATACTATACTGATAATAGAAGTATAGGCTAAAATACGTTATAGGAAGGCAATTCGCTGGCACCTATAAAAATTAACATGTTAACTTTGGAGTGAAATATTCCCATTTCTAGGTATATATGTCATAGGAATTTTCAGTAAAATATATTTGTGTTTTTTTCTACTAAAATATATTTGTACCCACATATGTGGATTTCATTACTTTTTAAGAGCAAAAGAAACAATGAAAACACCATAAATGTCCAGTGGTAAAATATGTTAAAATATAAGCACATAGATTTTAATATGTGTAGACATGGAAAGAGCTCTGAGATGTACAAGCCAGTTACAGATTATACCTCTATGTGGATCAGATAAATATAAAAAAAAAAAAATGTGTGTTATGGGGAAAAAATAACCGGCATTGGGAAATAAATAAGCATTCATTTGTAAATGCGAGAAAATCTGGTAAATCCAGTCCTTTCATTAAGGTTACTCTTCTCTTTTTATAAGAACTTTGAATGACTGAATCTGGAGTGGTGTTATTAATTAACACCTCTGACTATATTTCCCTGATAAATTATATTCTTTTTGTGGCTTTCAGTTTACTTACCTGAACAAAAAATGGATTTAAATTGGTTCTCCTTTCCACATGAATTCATTTGAAGGCCAAATATGGTGATAGAATTAAAAGATGATTGAAAATAATAAAAGAAGGAAATGCTATTCCTAATTTTACTTAATTGAAAATAATAAATGGCAAAAATTTTCAATACCAAAGATATATATGTAATGGTGTAGGAAGAAGTAATACACAATAAGTTCTACAATGGTACGGTGAATATTTAACTATGATAAGTGCCTACTCAAGTCACCAGTACTCTGATGTTCTTCCAGAGTACTGGCTAAGACATTGGACTCTGAAGGCTGACTGAGATGTTACCATCCCTGTGACTCAGTTCCTTCAACTCTACTGTGGGGTTAATACTACTGCTTATCCGACAGAGTTCTTCTGCAAATTAGATGAGACAATATGTATGATACCATATCTTGCATGTAATACATTGTCAATGCATGTTATCTAACATTGTGATTTATTCTGGTCACTTAAGATAATTTTGGAGATGTGTTTATTCTCACATTCAGGGGACACAAATTGGGATATGAATCAAAGCTGAGTAATCAGAAATAGATGAAAATCTGCCTTGCCCATTATCATTTGATTTTGCTGGAGAGACTGAGAGGAGACCTGGAATACTGTTCATCAGCGGAAACCTAGAGGCCATGGGGAAATATTGAGGTTCTTAGCAGGGGAGCATTCCAATTTCCTTCAAACAAGAATACAATGAGCACTAGAAAACAACAGTTAAAAATGATTAAAGAAAAAAAAAAAAAAAACAAGGGCACCTGAGTGGCTCAGTCAATGAAGCGTCCAACTCTTGATTTTGGCTCTCGTCACGATACTGAGTTTTGTGAGATTGAGCCCAGCGAAGGGCTCTGAGCTGACAGCATGGAGCCTGCTTGGGATTCTCTCTCTCTGCCTCTTTCCCACCATGTGCACCCTATCTCTCCTTCAAAATAATAAAACATGAAAAAAAATTAAATAACCAAGTAATTGTATTAGAAACCTATTGTAGGTGGTAGACCCACGTCCTTTATAGTTCTGCAGTAAGACTGAAAATTTGAAAACCTAGAAAATTGAGCCGTTTTCTTACAAGTTTCAAGTTGAACTTGTCAACCTAACTTTCACTAAAAAAAAAACAAACCTATTTTCCTATGACTCCTCTCTCAGTAAAGGGCTATGTCTAACAGTTGCCTAAGGCGGACACAAGCCAGTGCCCTGCTACACTTTTCTCATAACACACACAGACAAAAGACATTTTAAAAATATTATGTATTATTGACGCAGTTTTGCTTGTTTTGCTGAAATCAGTCCAAGCTTCTCTGTCTCTGCTTCCTTTAATCTTTTTTTAAAATATTTTTCATGTTTATTTATTTTGAGAGAGAGAGAATGTGTGTGTACATGAGAGGGGGAGGGGGAGAGAAAGAGAGAAGGAGAGAATCTCAAGCAGGCCTCATGCTGTCAGCAGAGACTAGGGGCTCGATCTCAGGACCCTGAGATCACGACCTGAGCTGAAATCAAGTGTCAGATGCTTAACCCACTGAGCCACCCAGTTTCCCCTCTGCTGCTTCGAATCGAATTTAGACGACCACAGATTTTTCTCTGGATTGCTGCTGTGGGAACTTCCTTACCAGCCTCCCTTTCTGAGGTTTTTCCCTCTTTCACTTCATTCTCCAGTTTTCAGCCAGGAAAATCTTTACAAAACGTAAATCCGACCCCATCACTCCCTGTTTAATTTCTTGTTTTCAATTGTGGAAACTCTTGTCCTATTGTATATCCTGTTGCATATGTTTGTTCATGCTTTCCACATCGTCATTTTAGCAGGAAATCCGAACCCCCGAATTAGGACTCCAAACCCTTTGATATTTATGCACTTTTTAAAAATTCAGTGAGCATATTTTTATTAGTATTTACATGTGTTTTCCCCTTTCCTATAGCTAATTTCTATTTATCTTTCCTAGTTCATTTTATGTTATATTACTTTTTCCAGGAAGTCTTTCCTGGATTAGCAACTCTCCTATATGCTCCAGTTGATTATTTTAACCTCTCCCTGTCAGTTACAGTTCTAGGCTGCCTTGGCAATTATCTTTGTCTACATTTTTCCATACATGCAAACACACACACACACACACACACACACACACACACATTTGCCATCGCCTACATGAACATACACTTCTTGCTCATTTATTACTTGAATAGAAACTTAGGGTAGTAACTTGATCCTTCAGAGCTCAATTCTTTTACATTTGCAGAATGAGAATTACAGTATTGGCCTTCTTACAGAAACCATATGAGAAAAGTAAAAGAAAATATATGTATATATGATATGGAGTTAAATAAATCTTTCATGACAGTTATTAACAAGTCTGTACAAATTGTACTCTGGTTACTGTATTTATTGACTGACTTCATAGACATTTTGTTTTTCCCAAAACCTCTTTAATAGAAATAGACATTAATAGACATGTTTGGAAAGGGGTGCCTTTTCAATGGATTTTCTTCCCTACATACCAGAGATAAAGCAAGACCCCTACATTCTGTCCTGGCTCTATACCCAAGTATGCCTCCCTAAGGACCTTGGGGAACAGAGTGGTGATGTCATGGAAAATATCTGTTTTCCAAGAGGTACCTGATAAACTATGTTATACCAGTCAAAGATATACAGTATTATTATGGAAACTCTCTGTAGCCTGGATAGTCCTCAATGCAAAGTGAAACCTTTGTTATACAGCTCTTTGGTTTTCAATTTTCCCCATTTAGATGCAACAGGAAAAAGAAAACATCCTACTAATTAGTGTTTCAGTTAATCTAGATTTTGCTTTAAGTACAAGGGCTCATGATTATTTTTTTTAACTTAAAAAAATTCTTTATTTTAGAGAGAGACAGAGTGCAAGCAGAAGAGGAACAGAGATAGAGGGAGATGCAGATTCAGAGGCAGGCTCCAGGCTCTGAGCTGTCAGCACAGAGCCCAATGTGGGCCTTGAACTGAGAGTTTATGACCTGGGCCAAAGTCAGGCGCCTAACCTACTGAGGCACCCAGGGGTCCCTGTGATTATTTTTAAAATGGCCGAAGCCACATGGAAGCATTTGAGGGGCTCTCATGCAGTTCTTTTCTGTGTTAGACAGGACTATGAAGATCTAGAAAAGCAGCTGAAAGAAGTCTTTAAGGAGAGAAGCAACATCCTCCATCAGCTGACAAAGACATCAAGAGAACTTGATGGAATTAAAGTCAACCTTCAGGTGAGATGAAAGCTAATTTTCCTGGCTGCAAAGCATGTACAGTCACTTGGCTTGTCTCAGTGGATTCACATTAAAGACCCCTGCATTTTTTTTTTTTACTAGTTTTGAATATGTTTCTGGGCTTGACCATGGGAGTTATTTATTATCATATAAGCTTTAAAAAGAAATGCCATTTGAAATACAGTCTGGGAATCTGTGGTTTGCAGATTCAGAAAGGAGAAAATTGTGTGCTTGGCAAGGCCATCAGTTTCTCATAGCTTCTAAAATCAATTTGCCCCTTGTGTTTTTTATATTATAAAATGATGAACACTAATTATGACCAAGAGCTAAATGAGTATAGGAATGATCTTTAGAAGAGAATTTTGAATTCTGCAAAGGATAGTTCTCAAGATTCTTTAATAAACCTCATTTCTAAACTGGATAAATGCCTTAGAAAGGAGACAGTCCGCTATGAAAATGTATGACTGCTAAGTGAAATCCCAATCAAAAACCAGAGACAAGATCTATATCTAATAAAAAAATTATGAAATACCCGATGATATATTTTAATATTTGATTGAATATTGAAATTATTGAGGATATAATGTACACTAAAAGCTTTAGCTGTATTACAGGATTTAATTTTCATAATATGTCTTTGAGATCTCTACTATTAATGTGATTTTTCTTATTATACATAAGGCATTATGCTTAGAGAAGATAAGTTATTTTTGAATGTTGCAAGGGAAGCCAGAGTTTCAATACAGAAAATTTGGCTTCAGGCCTTGTCTGTTAGTTACTACACTCAACCATGTTTCTGAACCATGTGGAGTCACTGCTGTCCTTAGCTTTCTATTCCATGAAGTTGATAATGCTGATGATGGTGTCAGTCACCCATACAAGTTTATTGAACATGGTCAAGGTCTTATATTGGGTATTCTTTGTAAAATTTTTGTTTAATTTTTACATGAATGCTATGCTACAGTTGTTAGTAGTTTCATCTTGTAAGTGGGAAAGCAAGAGTTAGAGAAGGATTAAGAAACTAAGACACAGAGAGAATCAGGTGTCAGATCAGGTATGTGAGCCCAATGCCCAAGCTCTTGTTCCTGAAGTTATGTTACAACTTGAAAACATTTAAAAAAAAAAAAAAAAAAAAAAACCCACCCACATTCCATTAAAACACAGAGGCCTGTATCAGGGTGTAATAGTGCTAAGATAGAAGAATACACAGAACGTTAGGAAAGCCCTGACTCAGACACAAAGGAAACTAAGTCAATTTCCATAGGCAGCTGATACCAGAGTTACATCTTACCATTAAGTAGAAATTCACCAGTTCTATGAGGCTACAAAGAATGTTCAGGATGCTTGCACCTTCTCTGAGGCATGGAATACTTGCAACTTTGAGATTATTTCAAGCATATAGTTAGATAACCATGCGTGGTCAGGAAACTCAGTGTGTCTGTACCAGCAGCCTAAGTTAAGACACCCAATTACAATCTGGAAAATTGCTTGATAGCAATGTATAATTTCATCGATTCATATTTTTTCAAAGGGTAACAATCCTACCACTAAATGTAGTTTCAATTTTTAAAAAGCCTTTCTTTTTCTCATTTTCTATAAGCCATTGTGCAAGATATTTTTTATTTTTCATCTTATTAAATCCTCTCAGCAACCTCTTTGCAAAATTAAGGTAATATTTTACTCATAAAATGAGGAAGCAAGACTCAAAGAGGCCGAGGAAGTGCCCAGTCATACATCTAATAAATACTGATTCTGGGTTTCAAACTCATGGTGAATAACTTCATAACCCATTCCACATTTCCCCCCCATTGGGACTTCATGAAGATAAGAGCTTGAAAGTTGTTATATTCTTCTCTGTAACCATAGCCCCTGGATGGGATTGTAATATAGGTCAACCAGTAAGTACTATGTTGATTAATTTATAGATATATCAACCTTTAGTATCCTTAAAGAAACTAAGAATATTTTCCAAGAAGTAAATCCACTTTCCCGGACATTGCTGGTCAAGTAATAATCAAGGACGCCCAGTCCTTCTCATTAGATACACTTTTCTGACTTCTATCTGTATCTACCCTTCTCATTTCTGCATCCCATGTTCTTTTTCATTTGCTTCTTTTGTTTCAATATTAAATCTCTTGAAGACAGTCATCTGCTTGTTCTTGGTTTCCTTCAGAATGCTCAGAATATAGCAGATGGTCAACAAATGAATAAGCATTAAGTGGTTTTCCACGTCTGTTTTGACCTCTGACGTTTTTTCTAATAAATGTCTAAAGTAGACTGTTCAAAAATCTCATCCCTGTTTTTCACCTAATAAGGTCAAAGGGCAGATTTTGTCACCTGCCTCAGGACATATGACCATGATGCACTTTGAGCTATAAATCCCATGATTGGCAATGCCCTCCACCCCTTCCTCATCCTAGCTTCTTTATCTGTTATATAAAGCTATTTTTTTCCAAATAAGCAAAACACCTTTTATTGGCTGCTTCCTAATATGACCTCTGTTGGTTATTTTAGGGAAGAAGTTTCTCTTATATAGTTCAGCCTACCACATCGTTAACAGAATGCTGATCCTGCTGTATGAAAATTATCTGATTTTAGCACTCGACTATACAATTTGTGAAGGCAGATGCCATGCCTCTGCACAGGACTTTGCATAACTCATGATAATATTTGTTAAATAGATATTAAGTAAACAAAGTGTTTGCCATTCCTAAGATTGTCAATTTTCTGCCCACCATGACTGTTCTTCCTATAAATAATATCACTTCCCCTTTGTCTCAACTTCTAATATCAAGACAGATATGTTACCCTGTTAAATAGTTTATAGAGTATAAATAAGAAAGTTCTTAGGGAAGGCTTAATGGGACAGATTCTATAATGAGAAGAGCTCAGTGGGCTTTTCTGTTGTAAGTCACAGTCTGTGGATGCTGGATTTGCCATCAAACACTAATGACTGAGGTGGTACATATTTTTTCTCTTAATACCCTATCTTTTCATACCAGTTACAATTTTACATGTCCCTCATTTTTTCTGCGCATTCTGCTACATTACTCATTAAGAATAAGTAGACAAGACCAAACAGGTACATGCTTTTTGGCCGCTTTGATCTTGAATTGTGTTATTACTTAGCTTATTCAGAGAGGTCTTTTATGTTCCTTTGTATTTGTAGAAACTATGCCAGAGCTGGTTTAATATGTCTGCAAAGAAGACAGTAAAACTTCAACTGAAGAGCAAAAGATGTGTTTTCTACTTACTTGCAGAGAGTCCTGAGTATTAGGAGAGCATTCTCCCCTCCATCAAACCTCTAAAGCCTGAGACTCTGCGTATCCCCTCTCACACTGGGCAGCACCTGTACTGTGTTTGGTGTCATAAATTCCCGTGTACAGCCTTAGAGCCATGAGGACCATCACAGCCTCATTTGCACATTCTTGTTCCGGGGGCATAAGAGCAGTCACAGCTGTACCATAGAGACAAAAGTGAACCTCACTTGAATAAGATTTCCTTTTCCCACTTTTCTTAACAGTCTTTGAAAAACGATGAGAAAACTTCCAAAACTGATGTTCAGAAGCTTCTGGAAATAGGTCAGAGACAAAGGTAAGACTGTGCTTTCCTTTAATTTTCTCAGTTCTTTTCTTTTTCCATAGTGTCAAACTCCACATTCAGAAATTTCACAAAAATCACTTCCTTCTAAATGCATGAATTCATTTATCTTCTTACTTGAATGGGTGAGAATCTTGCTCAGATGCAGATTTGTATACAAAAAATCTATGGTGGGACTTCAAATTGTGCATTTTTAGCAAGTTCTCTGGTGATGGTTACGCTATGCTGCTTGTCTTCAGCAGGTCACAGAGTATTCATGGATCCATGGTATTTTCCTCTATTATCCTAGTAAGAAAGATGCTGATAAATCTGCCCATAAATAGACCCAAAACAGTGACCTCAGTGGGCCATTTTTAATAGTACCAAAACTTGATCATAGTGATAATGGTGGGGAGGTAAGGAATGGGGTAATCTTATTTACAGTGTAAGTAGAATTAGTCTAATCTTATTAGTGTTGGATTGTGTGTGTGTGTGTGTGTGTGTGTGTGTTTTAAAGAAGTGAGTTGTGAGTAGATTTCTATGCAGTATTAAAAGCTATATGATTTAAAATTGCCTCTCAAAGGAAAAAATATATTTTAAGGTAGAAACAAGATAGCATTTGTTATACATTTACTAGAGGCTCTCTTAGATGCTTTATATATGTTTTTCTATTTTACTCTCACAATTACCTTATAAAGGAGATATGATTATCCCTATTTAATAGGAACAAAAGTGTTGCTCTAAGGCTTAAATGAGTTGAAGAGAGTTGTATTTAGTGGAATTTGCTCTGCTGTGTCTCACCTGGGGCGACACCCTTTCACATTAATTCACTGATCACAAAATATAAAACTCCAGAACAGCTTACACACACTATGTAGTCCCTTCTTACGGTCTTATATCTTCTCCACTGTCCTTGCCTCTTGACCCAGAAACCTCTCATTGACATATATTCAGATCAAGCTGATGACACATTTAAAATATCAAATTGACTGTCCTATATTGACTTGTTATTATTTCAATGAAATTATTCTTTTTTTAAATTTTTTAATTAATGTTATTTTTGAGAGAGAGAGAGAGAGACTGAGCGTGAGCAGGGAAGGGGCAGAGAGAGAGAGGGAGACTCAGAATTTGAAGCAGCTTGTATAAAATATTCTAACAATAGCTAACTTTTCAAAAGGATATGACATTTGATACATTAGCGTTTATGATTTCTTAGAAAGATATAAAAATCATGTTCACCTGAAAGGAAGCTGTGTCTCTCATTTGATTTTTTTTATTTTAAAGTTTTTTATTTATTTCTGAGAGAGAGAGAGAGAGAGACGGTGTGAGCAGTGGAGGGTCATAGAGAGAGGGAGGGAGACACAGAATCTGAAACAGGCTCCAGGCTCTGAGCTGGATGTCAACACAGAGCCCGACGCGGGGCTCGAACCCACGAACCGCATGATCATGACCTGAGCCGAAGTCGGACGCTTAACCGACTGAGCCACCCAGGTGCCCCTGTGCACCTCATTTGAAAAGAAGAGATACTAATAAACAATAAAACAGAAAAAATATTATCTTAGAATATAAAAATATGAACTAATTGCAAATTTACAGTGTCATCTGAGTCTGAAACAGTGCCATGCATCATAGATGCCACTTGCTATACATCCAGCTGTCAGTAACATTTCATCCTTTGGAATGTTTGCCACCTGACACTTACCTGCAACAATGGTTCCTAGAAGTCATGCTTCTTTTATAGGACTCCAACATCACTCACAGTTAACAGGCCCAGAGGTGACCACCAAGTCAAAACCAAATCAATTAGAAGTTTCCTCTTGGAACTGTAACTAAGAGGTATCTAATCAGTCTCTCTGTGTAGCTGAGACCAGACTGTCAGTAAGTAAACTCAGAAGCTACGGGGTGGCCATATGTAACTGTGCAGAGAGAGCAAAGAGTGTCTTTCTGTTGAGACAGAGAAAGGAGTGTGTGTGCATTCATGTACATATTTTTGTATGCACGTGTGTGTATATGAGAGAGAGCAAGCACACCAAAGTTGTGTTGGCTCTTGAGTGTTACGTCTTAACAGCCTAAATGATATTTACAGAAGAGCTCCAGATCTAAACCATACCATATAAGGAGAGAGTGTGTACTTTGTACTTACGAAGTGGAGATTTGGGGGGTTGGAGGGTAACCTAAAGTGTCTGAAACTGCCTTAACAAAAATAATAAAACATTTTATTCTCTTTGGTGGTTGGTGGGTAGAGATTCTTAGAAGGCAGTTTTGGATCCTTTGTACCAAAGGATTGCACAGAATCATGTTCTCTGAAAACAAAAATGACACATTGGATAGCGGCAAGTTGTCCATCTGAGATGTTTTTACAATACAAGTTGGTAACCACTTGAAAAAAATGCCTTCCTGTAGTGTGATTTGGGTGAGTATGGTTTCATATTTGCAATGTGATATTGCAGATGTATGTAATAGCTGGTCCAAATAGGACCCTAGAGTAGCAGCAATAGTTGGGTAAAACCCTAGAGTAACAGTGATAGTTGGTGGAGGGAGCCGGCCCATGAGCAAGTCAGGAGCCCTCTCTCATAGGAGTATAACTATTCCAAGGCTGTGAGAGAGATTCAGGACCCGCTAAAGCACAGGAGCTGTGGAGATGTGTAGAAATAAGCTTAGCGGGTAAAAGAGAAGATGGAGATATTCAGAAGGTTCAAAAGATCAACTTTACCATTCTGTCTGATAGATTTCTTTGATGTGAAAATGTGTAGAGTCCTCTACTTTCTCCAGTGTTTGTTAATAGCAAACAGTGCTTTAAAGGTTTTTTTTTGTTTTACTCCCTATATTGCCTATAGATGTCAGTATGTGGGAATTTTTGAATATACATACATACTCATTTTTATTTTTATAAAATATATTTTATAACTTTAAACTTTGTGTATCATCTAAAAATAAGTGACATTTTTAAAATTAAAAAATACTAAAAAGATAATTGGTCATTATAAAATTTTAGTATATTTTTTACCAGTTGGAAATGTAATAGCTTGTGTTTCCATTCAGTGCTTGTTAATTATTTGAGTGTTAGAAATAGCGTGTAGAAGGGTGCCTGGGTGGCTTAGTCGGTTAAACGTCCGACTTTTGCTTAGGTCATGATCTCACAGTTCGTGGTTTCGGGCCCCACGCCGGGCTCTGTGCTGACTACCAGCTCAGACCCTGGAGCCTGTTTCAGAGTCTGTCACTCCCTCTCTCTCTGACCCTCCCCTGCTCACACTGTCTCTCTCTCTCTCTCTCCTAGAAATAAATAAAACATTAAAAAAAAATTTTTTTTAAAGAAATAGCATGTAGATCCTTTCTGCCTTCATTCTTTCTTCTCTCCTTTCCTCTCTCCCTCTGTTCTTTCCCTCCTCTGTTTCTCTCACCATAGTGGTAGTATAATGACTTCAGAGTTTGAACACATAGGTTCTAGAACACAATTTCACTACCTTCCTCTGTATCAGTTTTCTGCCTGTAGTATTATGTCATACTTTGATGTGAACCTTCTTAGAGTGTCTGATGCATTGTAAACCTACAATATATGTAGATATTTCTATTACATTATATTATGCCAAAAATGCTCTCTGTGGAGGATAGCAGAAACAATAATGGAAGCCCCAGTTTTAAATGTCCATATATGAAACAGTCCTGATCAATGTTACCTGTTTGAGGAAGGAATAGAAACTGAGACTTAAATCCACTCTAAGCACCAGCATGTTACAACCTTCACCCGGGCAAACAGTAATTGTCTAAGAACCAACTTGACCATAATTATTTTATAACTTGTTCCAATTATCTTTTGCTTCGACAAAAAAAGTCCAAATTGATTTTAACAATCCTATTGACTCTCACTAATATTCCTGAAATTGAGACTGGGACCTAAGAATTTCTAGAGTAGGAAATCTGGGAGCGTCATTAAATCCCGATGGATGAAAGAACAGCTCGCAGGTGTGCAGGATGTGATGGGCAAAGAATGAACTTAGGGACCCAAGAGTACTGCTGGATGTTATGACAGAGATCTCATATTTGTTAAGTGATTGTTTTCCAGGCATTGTGCTAAGCATTCTGCCTACATTGTGTCATCTAAACTTCACTACAAATCCATGAGGTAGCTCTATTAGTGTTCCCATTTTATAGATGAAGTAAATGGGTCTAAGAGGGTACAGTCTTATCCCTAGTCTCTGTAGTATGATTACACACAAAGATTTCAGGGGTGAGTAGTCTTTTGGCCCAAGAATGGGAATTTTAAATTAGTTTGAGTCCTGCCGATAAGGCTAGGAAAGGTTTCTGTTTGGCTGTTGCTATTGCTTTGAAGGAGTTTATCCCTGTAGCCAGAATAAAAGACACACACACACACACACACACACACACACACACACACACACACACTTGTATACTAAACTTTATCTGGTATCAGAATTTTTTGACGCAGTAGCTTAGGTGATAAAATGAAGGCACAGAAAGATAGTATGATCTGTCATATGAGTAAATCTTAAACCCTTGATACGAATGTGTAATTATGGAAATGTTTATATTTTTAACAAGTGAACCAACGTCCATGTACAGAGCTTGAGACATAATGTGTAATAGATGCAGACAAGTATTTCTTATATTATCCCCAATAAATGAGGCAGTGCTCAAGTCTGAAATAAGTCTCTTTTCTTTTTGTTTTTATAAAAAGTCCCAGGCCTTATAAAGCATGTCTAAAGTATACTGCCTTAGAATTAATCAATTAGGAGCATCCACAGGGAGTTGTAATTTTAACCTATCAGCAAGTCTGTGGCAACTTTTCTTTTTTTTTCTAACCAGCATGCTCATACCCTGGCATGCTGTCACTAAAATTAGCTTTTCGACTCTAATTATTATATTGATTTGATTTAGTACATTATGCAGCTCACAGATGATTCACATGGTGGAATTCTTATAAGACACAATAGCAAGGCTATTTCCTTTAAATACAGCTTGCCTTTAGTACTTGTTACTTTGAGAAAACTTTGTTACTAGAATCCTTAGATACATCCTTATGCTTAATTGTGTCCCTATATACAGTTCTAGTTATCTGTTTCCTAAATATACATTGACACCAAAACCCCCTTTCATAATGTACATAGGAAATAACAGAATTATGTTTCTCTTTTGCTCTCTATTTTCTGCTAGAGAACAAATGAAGTCTCTCCAGGAGGTCCTGCAAAATCAACTTAAAGAGACATCTGAGAAAGCAGAAAAACAGCAAGCTACTGTAAGTATGTTTCTTCTTTGTGTCCTTTGCTTCTGTGCTGGGAAACATTTTTTTCTTCCCTAAATTGCCATGGAACAAACACACCTGTAAAAAATAACAGAACACAATAAAGAAAACTCAGTCACCAAAATCATAAAAATATTTGGTCAGCATTCATTTTAAAGAAAAGAGTTTTGTTTTATTTGATCATTAGGGGAACTTCTAATCTCCAATCCCCATTTACGGATGAAAACAGAGGTCAAGAGTGAGACAAAAGTGCTGGTGTCACCCCACACCAATGGCTTCGGAAATGTGTCTTGTAACTGACCTTGAGCAGAGCCCCACCCCTCATCCCCTGAGCAGGAATCTCTCAGGGGCGGAGCCGTATTCTTTCTGTTGATTCAACTCCACAGGTGATTCTGATATGCCCCTAGGCTTGAGAATCAAACTTTTTCACAAATATTCTCACTGGATTTCTATTTTATTCTTCAAAACCACCATATGTACCAGTTATGGGGAATGGACCTTTTATCTTGTTTCTAGGACCTGAGTCTATTTTAAAATATAGTGTATTAATAGAAAATTTAAAGTGCAGTTAGACCAGCAGATCAGGAAATGACTACCATGGAGAATATAGTTTATTTCTCACAATTCCCAAAAGGGATGGCATGCCATGTGACAGGTGACCACCCATGGAAGAACTTACGTAGGTCATGAGGCAGAGGGAACTGTGGGCAAGTGTCTTTATGGTGGTTTCTGTGGGAAGGAATAGGTGAGAAGGGGTAAGCAGGGAGAGGAGGAGTCAGTGTGAATGACTTCTGCAGGCTCTGAGACATAGGGAATGCAACCTAGTTGTCTGGTACCTGAGCCTGGGGAGATCAGGGCAGGTTTATAGTGGGTTGGCCTGTGAGAGCACACCAATATAAAACTGGGGGCCTGGGTTGCAGGCTCTGTGTTGGTCAGTTGGTCTTTGAAAAGCATGTCACCAGGAGGAATTTTTCTGTGTTGGTAATTGAGTAACTAATATGCTTTAACCCAGAGTCAAGAAAGAGGTAACGACAATCTTGATAAATATGGGATTGAAATATACTTATTAAAACAATTATTTTTTTCATGTGCATCTGATGGGATCTAGAAAACAGATTCCATAGTACCTCTTCCAAATTGTGGTAGACTCAGACAGAATGCTTTGTGCTTATTCTCCCTCTTTGAAAATTCTTAATTAAGAATTAAACTAATTTGTATTTTTAAGCTTTTTCAGGAGTGTGAATAATTATTCTTTACTCTTTTAGGAAGACTGTTGGTGTAATTGAAGGTTAGGTAAAAAGGAGAGATAAAGATAATTGTTTACTCTCAAATGCAGGGGAAAAACTGGATTTGCTTCTGCAAACGTTATGCTATTTTAGATTTAAGAGCTAATAATTTTATGTGCCACCCTTGATTAGATATCCAGTAACTATGCCTTTTCCCATACAAATAGCAGATTGTGTATTTTATGCAAAAGTTGTTTCAAATATACCAATTGATAAGTCCATATTAAAATGTTATGAAACTTAAAGAATAAACTTAAATCATAAAGATATGAAAGAAGAAAAACTTTATGAAAAATTAAACTGAAGAAACAGTAGAGCTGTCATCATCTAATGCAACTTGAAAGCACTTTTTAAGAATGTGGTAACAGTTTTTATTATCCCTGAGCAAATAATGGAATAGCATATCTTTCAAACCTATGTTCCTCATGAAAGTCCTAACAGACAGCAAGGAAGAATGAGCATTCATTCTCTGTAACCAGAGTAATTAAAGATATTAATGTTCATTGGATGCATTTCACTACTCTTGTTAATTTTTATGGCTTAACTTGCCCTAAGTGAGACATAATTAGTTTAAAGGCAAAAATTAGCTTCTAGCTTTGACTCTCATTAAGAATAAAGAATTGCTATGTTCTTACATTCTTTGTTCAAAGTAAATAAATGATAGTTTCTGTTTCTGAGAATTAAATTCATAACTATCTCTTGAGAATGCTTATTTTTTTCCAGGGATGTCAAAACCTGCTGGAATCCTAGACCAATGGTTTCAAAATGCTAATATTTTTTGAATATTCTGAATATATTTTAGCTCTTGAATATTGAACACTGAGTTCTCAAGATTCTCTGTCCTTGTTTCACATTTAAATAATTATATTCTTTATTAATGACAACTAACTTTGATTAAGAGTATAATGAAAACTGGGGAACCAGGCTGGCTCAGTTGGTAGACAATGTGACTCTTGATCTCAGAGTCTAGACTTTGAGTCCCACGTGGGCATACAGTTTACTTAAAACAAAACAAAACAAAACAAAAATCTCCTGTAGCTACTTCTAAAGGTTGTTTTGAAGTAATGTATGAGAAAACCCCATGTTATGTGTTTATATGTAAAAATAATTATTTTTTAAGTTAATTATAGATAACATTGAATAGTATCAAAATGTGAGGATTTAGGAAAAATTGGGGTCCTTGAAAGAATAGGTCATTGATATAAACAAGATGGGGTTTTTTTTAAGATTTTTATTTTATCTTATTTTTAGTAGGCTCCATACCCAACATGGGGTTTGAACTCAGGACCCCAAGATCTAGAGTCTCTGCTCTACTGACTGAGCCAGCCAGGTGTCCAATATAAGTAAGATGGCTTTATGTAGTTCATGACTTAAAGACAAATCTGTAATATATCAGATTTTTCTAGTACTTATAAAGTTCTTAGGAAGATGTAGCATAAACTCTGAGAGTTGCATTTTTTTTTTTTTTTGTAAGGCAAGTGCTCACTTTAGGCTTTGATTGCAGAGGCATCCACTTCAAAGATGGCTATCTGAAATAAACACACCACTAGACAAAGAGCAGGGCCAAGCCCTCCCCATCCCAGCCTTCAAGCTCCTAAAAAAAAACCGGGTGCTCCTTTGTTTTGGAGATCTTGGTTGATTTCAGTAACTGACCTTTTGGGCTGACTGTTTGTTCTCTTCCATTGTTTTTAATTTTCATTATTATGTTTTAAATTCACCTACCCTCCACCCCTATAAATAAAACCTCAGGCCTAAGCTCTCCCAAGCTCTTTCTACCTAAGGCCTCACTTTGAGGCCCCAGATGAACATGTAACTTCCAGAACTGGTAAGTTCACTTTATTTTTTTGTTTTTTAAATTTTCAATTTCCAGATGATATTGCTGAGGGTGTCTGGTAATCACACTAAGAACAACAAAGGCTGGTCCGGCCACAAGATTGGTTATCTATAGGCTGAGACAGTATGAAGCAGTAGAAATTGTGCAAAAGCTGTTTATTGAGGCATACACTATTGCTCTACATACATATCTAATTTCGAATGGCATAAAGCCCTCCATTGATTCCTTTGCTTTACCAACCAAATCAAATTATCTTCTTAAAGGGACAAAGCCTGTGACTTCATGTTTTCAGGTTACTGTGTTAGTATCTTCATAGTTCAAATTTACCCTGAAAATTATTATGACCAAGACAATGATCATGGTAGTTCTCAACCTTCTGCTTGTTTTTTAATTTTTTTTTTTAATGTTTATTTATTTTTGAGACAGAGAGAAACAGAGCATGAGTGTGGGAGGAGCAGAGAGAGAGGGAGACACAGAATCAGAAGCAGGCTCCAGGCTCTGAGCTGTCAGCAAAGAGCTGACAGTGGGTTCCAGTGTGGCTGGAACCCACGAACCTTGAGCTCATGACCTAAGCTGAAGTCAGACACTTAACCGACTGAACCACCCAAGCGCCCCAGCTTCAGCTTATTTGATATGCAATTTAACCATTCAAAATTGGTTTATATTTCTACTACCATTTGAAGGAAAGGTACAAGGACCCCTACACAAGCCAGAAAAGAGAGTGTTTACATTTGTTGTAAGGGTTTACACAATACACAAAAGGAAAATGTACAAAAACATGCACAATACTAATAATACACATCAACTTCAGGATAGTGGTTATTTCTGGAGAGAGGGAAGGAAGAAAAATTAGGTAGGGCTTTAATACTAAATGTAATAATTTTTTACATGGTTTGAAAAAACTTGGGCCAGATATTTATAGTTGTTTATTCTTAGGATTGTGCCCAGAGATGTTTTACATGCTACTTCTTGGTTTTTTTGTTCATTCTGAAATCTGTCAGAACTGTTTTTTTTTTTCTTTTTAAAATCTGTGTATAAAGGGAACATTGATTTTACTCCTAAACATGATTTCTACTGACTCAGTGTATCTCCATAGATAATGCACATTACCAGTCGCTTGTATCATTCCAGGAATCCGCTAAGACTGATAATTGTCCCACTAGGTAAACAGGGTGCTGACCATTATAAAATGTCTGGTCCAAACTGAGATATGCTGTTAGTGTAAACCATACAGTGGTTTACTGTAATATATACCACAAACTTTAATGTCAATTATATCATTTACCATTATGTGTCAAAATATTTTGAATATATTGAATTAAATAAAATATAGTAGTGAAATTAATTATATCTGTTTCCTCTTTTTAAGAAAGATGTGACTATGAGGAAATTAAAAATTGGAGAAATGAAATATTACATCCACTATCATTAAAGTTACTTTTATCATAGTGAACACTCAATGACTATAAAGTCTCAAATTTGAACAACTATGCTATTCTGACTTTCTTTCTTTCAAAATACTCAGGCAGAAATGCTCAGGGAGAAAAGGTGCTATGTTTATGCAAATATGCCTTGAACAACTGACCTAAGATTACAGGTTCCAACAATATCATATTCAGAAGGAAATATCATAGTTTCTTTGAGGTAGTATTAGAACATTCTGTGCTTTTGAGATCAGAAATATCACCATGCAATTGCTTTCTAAGCTGACACTGATCAAAATTATCTGGAGAGTGTTTTATGAATGGAGATTTCTAGGCGCAACCCGAGAATCTAGCTTTTTGTTGTTTAAATTTTTAAAGGACCACATTTTTTAAAATTCGGGTTTAAATAGTTAGAGAATTGCAGTTATAATATGCATGGTTTCTTAATTTAAAAAATTAATCTTTTACTACATGAGAAAAGACTTTTTATGATCCATGGATATATGTATGAATTGCGCAATGGAAGTTTGGTTAATGAAAATTTTAATCCTTTGTTCTATTTCAGTATTTGTTGATAAAGAGTTAATCTTTGTATTATGCTTCAAAAATCATGAAAATAAATTTATAAATCCATAGAAATGAGTTTGAAATGTGCTTACATAATATTTTCATTTTCAGATTAATTTTTTAAAGACTGAAATGGAAAGAAAAAGCAAAATGATCCGAGATCTCCAGAATGAGGTAAGATGTATTTCAGGCAAATTCTATAAGTCAAAAACAAAAAACACAAACCCACATATAGATTCATCACAAGTTTTGGAGCATTGATCACATGAAAATTTGACCTTCAGTAATATATGAATGGAAAGGAATTGTATGGTTAAGAATTTCAAAGAGTAGATAATCCCTACTTTTATATGTATTTGAAAATTTTATTAGTTCCTACCTCCCTTATTCATTTTCCTTCTAATTATATTTTGCTTGGACTATTTTAAAAATTAATTTTCATTTCATAAATTTATCTGTCCACCAAATGACATCACAGTATGTAAAGAAGGCTAGATAGAAACTGACTACATGCAAGAAGAGTTAATCTAGAATGAAAAGTTTTTTTTAGAATGATCTTCAAGTAATGTAAAGTTGAACAGAAATAGCCTGGAGCAGTGTAAGGACCCTATAAAATGCTATATATATTTTTTTGATTCTCTGTCTTGTAATACAACTACTTTATTTTCTATAATTCCTCCATCACATTTCTATTTCCACCTTTTCATTTCTATTTTCTTGAATGCAGTTAGTTAATTAGGATTCTTAAGCCATAACTAATTAATGATACATTTTCCTTGATCAATGTCACTAATTATGGTTTATTTTGAATCCCAAATCAGTCTAGACTTTCCTAGATTCTTTATTTTCTCTCATTCCTTTGTTCATTCATTCATCTATTCCTTTTTATTTTTGAGACATTTGAACAATAGATCAGCTACATTATTCACATTATTCCTAAATGGTTTCCACCTTGATAACAAGTTTAAGAAATAGGCTTTACAAATGTTTTGATATCAAGCATCTATCGTCAGTACTCTGATTATGACATTAAAATGGTTTATCAGGTGTGTGAAAAATGTATAGGAGAAAGGAAAGCAAGAATTTTAAATGGCTTTCTGATGATTCAATTGTATTTCCATTTCTTTATAATTAGTTTTTCTTCTGAGTGTTCTTAAGAAACTTAAGATGGAATGGACTTGATAATGGTTTCCGTGAAGCCTAAATCTTCTCAGTGAACAAGATATTATCCAGTACACCCAGTATTCCGGTAACTCTGGTCTACTGGTATTTTCCACTAGGAAACAGAGAATCAATTGATGGTATACGTTCACCATTAGGTTTCATTAAATAAGTCATTAAATAAGTTATTCATTAAACAACTCTACTTATCAGTTATCATCTTGCAGATTTTCAGTGTGATGAAAATGAGTAGTAAATTTCACTGCAGAGCTTATGTTTAGCAGATATTACTTCTGTAAAGTTTTATTTGTTTTAGAATTATTCTACCCTAATTATTAATTAATATACTGTAAAAGCGTCCCCCAGAAACAAAATATTTCATTTGTTCCCTATATGTATTTGTTATGAATAATTTATAGTTTGATTTTAAAATTGATTCCTTCTTATAGTCTAGACTTAAAAAATTATCTAAGAATTAAAGTTAACTGATGATGCTTAGAGATCTAAATTAGCTTATAATCTTCCATTATCATACAAATGTGTTCTTATTGTTTGTATGTGGTATCTCATTGTGGTTTTGATTTGCATTTTTCTGATAATTAGTGATGTTGAGTATCTTTTAGGTATCTGTTGGCCAGCTCTATGGACAAATATGTATTTAGGTGCCCTGCTAATTTTTTTAATCAAATGGTTTATTATTTTTTTTTTTGTATTAAGATGTATCGATTCTTTGTATTTTGGATATTAACCCCTCATTGGATATATCATTCGCAAATATCTTCTCCCATTCAGTAGATTGCATTTTTGTTTTCTTAATGGTTTCCTTTGCTATGCAAAAGTTGTTGTTGTTGTTTTTCCCTAATAGTTTTGCTTTTCTTTCCCTGGCCTGAGAAGACATATCCATAAAAATTTTGCTAGGGGTGATGTGAAAGAGATATTGCCCGGGGTGTTTGTTTGTTTTTAGATTTTTATGGTTTTAGGTTTCACATTTAGGTCTTTAATCCATCTTAAGTCTATTTTTGTGTAAGGTGTAAGAAAGTGGTTGAGGTTTTTTTTTTACATGTGGCTGTCCAGTTTTCCCAACACTATTTTTTGAAAAGACTGTCTTTTCCCCATTGTATATTCTTGACTCCTTTGTCATAGATTAATTAATCATATAGGCATAGATTTATTTCTGGGCCCTCTGTTTCATTGATTTATGTGTCTATTTTTGTGTTGGTAACATACTGTTTTGATTACCACAGCTTTGTATATATCTTGAGAAATAGGACTATAATAATTCTGTTTCTGTTCTTTCTCAATATTGTTTTGGCTATTCAAGTTTTTTTGTGGTTTCATACAAATTTTGGATTATTCTAGTTCTGTGAAAAAAGCTGTTTGTACTTTGATAGGGATTGCATTAAATCTGTAGATGGTTTGAGTATTATGGGTATTTTTAACAATATTAATTTTTCAATCCATGACCAAGGCATATCTTTCCATTTGTTTTGTCATCTTCAGTTTCTTTCATCAGTGTCCTATTGTTTTCTTAATATAGGTCTATTACCTCCTTGATTAAATTAATCCTAGATATTTTATTCTTGGTGTAATTGTGAATGTGATTGTTTTCTTGATTTCTCTTATGCTTCATTATTAGTGTATGGAGATACAACAAACTTTAATACATTGATTTTGTATCCTGCAACCTTACTGAATTCACTTATCAGATGTAGGAGTTTTTTGGTGGAATCTTTAGGATTTTCCACATATAGTATCAGATCATCTGGGAATATGACAGTTTGGCTTTTTCCTTACCAGTTTGGATACATTATATTTATTTTTCTTGACTGATGGTTGCAGCTAGGACTTCAGGTTCTATGGTGAGAGTAGTAATCCCTGCCTTGCTCCTGATCTTAGGGGAAGGACTCTCAACTTTTCACCTTTGAGTATAATATTAGATATGGATTTTTCATATATGGCCATTCTATTGAATTTTTCCCCACTAAGCTCTTTTTGTTGATTATTATTACAAATGAATGTTGCACTTTGCCAAATGCTTTTTCTGTATCTGTTGAGATGGTCATATGGTTTTTATCCTTCTCTTTTTAAAAAAAATTTTTTTCATGTTTATTTTTATGTTCTAATGTTTATTTTTGAGAGAGAGAGACAGATCAGGAGCAGGGGCGGGGCAGAAAGAGAGGGAGACACAGAATCTGAAGCAGGCCCCAGACTGTGAGCTATCAGTACAGTGAGGCTCAAACCCACAAACCGTGAGATCATGACCTGAGCCAAAATTGCATACTTAACTGACTGAGCCAGCCAGGTGCCCCTGTCCTTCCTCATTAATATGATATATTACATTGACTTATTTGTGAATATTGAACTGCTCTTGCATCCCTGGAATAAATTCCACTTTATAGTGGTGAATTATTTTTTAATTTTTTTAATTGTTTTTGCTAATATTTTGTTGAGAATTTTTGCATCTGTGTTCATCAGAAATATTGGCTTATAGTTTTGTTTTTTGTAGTGTCTTTGTCTGATTTTGGTATCAGAGTAATGCTGGCTTTATAGAATGAATTTGAAAGTTTTCCTTCCTCTAGATTTTGGAATAGTTTAAGAAGAATAGGTATTAACGCTTTAAAGAAAAATGTTTGGTAGAATTCACCTGTGAAGCATCTGGTCCTAGATGCTTGTCTATTGGCAGTTTTTCAGTTATCTGGTTTTGATGTCCCTTATGCAATGCTTTTTTTTTTTTTTCTTGCATTCAATCACTTGTTTTGCATTTTGTATTTGGTTATTACATGGTTAGAACAAATATTAAAACTTTTCACCAGGGTGCCTGGATGGCTCAGTTGGTTAAGTTTCAGCTCATGTCATGATCTCACAGTTTGTGAGTTTGAGCCTCATAAGTCAGGTTCTGTACTGACAGCTCAGAGCCTGGAGCCTACTTCGGGTTCTGTGTCTCCCTCTCATTCTGCCCCTCCCCTGCTCATGCTTTGTCTCTCTCTCTCTCTCTCTCTCTCTCTGTCTCAAAAATAAATAAACATTTTAAAAAGATATGTATAAAATCATTTGCACCAAAAACTAAAACAAAGGAGAAAAGCCTTCTCTGACTTCCATATATGTGATAATTGCATTACCATGTGATATAGACAGTCTCATGGACTCCAAAGATTAGAAGCCTCTTTGACTTTGCACTTTCAAAATACCCTGTCTCCACTATTCCTTCCAATGTTGTTGTTTTTTTAAACTATTCATTTTACCCCCTAGGATAAAGTAAGTTTATCTATAATGATCATAGGTATAAGAAAGACTCAAAGAATGAGTAAGATGGCATGTAGATGTTGAAACATTGGAAAAATTAGACATTATGATATGCATCTTTGATTAGTTGAAACTCATTAAGGAAAGGTGTGAGTTTGATTATCTCCAGGACTTTTTAAAGGAATATATAGTTGGCAATACTTGATTTAGTTTGTATCTAATTAGTAGATGGAGATCAAAGGGAGGGAGAGAGAAAAAATAAAGGAAGGATGGAAGTAGGGAGAAAGTTGCCCCCTCCCCCCACCAAGCACTACTTTTTATGGTGGTTTGTTTTAAGACAGATTCTTATGATTGATTATTTTCTTGAGACTCATTCAAGATAGTTCAAGGTAAGGATAAAACAAGTAATCAAACTAAAACTAATAATAATAAAATCACGAACCGTAAATGTGGGCCTCACTCTGCCCAGCGATGGAGATCAGAAATTTGTCAAATCCCCTCTCTCAGTAGGTTTTCCTTCTTACTATTTCATGGCTCCATTTTTTTTTTCTCTTTCTAGTTTCTCAATTCTTTTGCTCATCTATTTATTGCATGGCTCGTAAAGTTTAAACTGACTCTGAATTACTAACATGACTCCTCTAGTTCCTACTAATAACTGCTTTAATCTCTTTTTACGTTTGGTTTTATTGCTGTTGTTATAAGTGACTGGGAGGAAATTATTGCCACAGATCAATTCACTGACCAATCTTTAGATTTCCAAATAATTCCAA